ATTTATTTATTTATTCATTCATTCATTCATTCATTCATTCATTCATTCATTCATTCATTCATTCATTTATTTATTTATTTATTTATTTATCTATTTATTTATTTATTTTTATTTATTTATTTATTTATTTATTTATTTATTTATTTATTTATTTATTTCATTTTTTTTTCAATTTATTATTTTAATTCTCTTATTAATTTTTAAAGTTATTTATTGCATCAACATGAAAAAAAGCTAAGATGTAATATTATTGTTTTAAGATATATTGTATGGTTTATCAATTTCATTTCTATTTTTAGATCAATGATATAATGAGAAACAGCAGTTTCCAGAAGTATTACATTTCCTCCACAGTACAAAAATACAGGTTGGCCTTTTTATGCTGCAATTTCCTGCGTTTTCTTTTCATGTTAAGACACAAGACAACGGTTTTTTTTTCAATTTTTGGGCTTTTATTTCATTTCAGTCCACAGGACAACGGTTTTTTCAATTTTTTTTTTAATTTCATTTCAGTCCACAAGATAACAGTATTGAATTCACATTGGAATTTTCGAGTGACATGCGAGGGTTAAATCTCACATCTGACCCGGAAACCGACGAATATGCCAATCAAATAGAGTATATCATTAAAACAGGGGCAATAACTCTCCCTGTCAATGTCTCATCCATTATCATCGTAGGTAAGTGTAATTCTTGGAAACACCAGGTTCTATTCTTACGATGGGCGTGTTTCGGATATGACAACATCACGACAGGTGCTTTGTCGAGCAAATGACGGCTATGGTTTGCGATCTCAATCGTCTCGATCCAGCCGTAAATGGGTACTGATAATATGGGAAAGATTTATTCCAATTCGTTGAAGACTAGCTCTAGGAACGCGTGGAGTAAGGCTTTGAATTGCGACCTGCTAGGCGACTTGGTGCCGTCGGTTCGAGTCACATCTTTGACGTATATATCTTTGTTTCCAAATTTAACTTTTGACTATTTTTTTTGAAGATCAACTTCCCACAACGACGACTAAACCACTACCATCAACCAAAGAAACAACCACAACAGAAATGGTGACGTCAACCACAGAAATGGTGACGTCGACCACAGAAAACGTGACGTCGACCACAGAAATGGTGCCGTCGACCTTAGAAAACGCGACATCGACCACAGAAAGCGTGACGTCAACAACAAAAATGACAACGACTGAAAAACCATCAACTACTACTGCTGCTTACGTCATAAAAACCTCACCAGATCCAAGTAAGAAACTTAGTCTTCAGCTTCCGCTTGGGTTTCAAGACGTATGAGATAACTCACTCCCTGAACAGGAGTTAGGAATCGAAAACGACAATGAGTTTTAATACAAGAAATCAATCTCTCTGTGCATAGCTGAAACTTTGTCAATATTTTGAAAATTATCCCCCTTTGACCATACGAATTGGATTATCGACGACTTTATTTTCAGGACGGTGTGTTTTAATTATCAGAAATTATCCCCCTTTGACCATATAAATAATCGAATTATTTTCAGGACGGTGTGTGTACCAAGATTTCGAACTTTGTAAAGAATTTGGAAACACATTCACCTTGCTCCCCAACTATTTTGGAGATGAGTCCATCTCCTCGGCGGCGAACACTTTCTTTACGTACTTCAACCACACTGTCAATTCTGGATGCTCCAAAGATGTCCTGTACTATTTCTGTAACCTGGTGTTTCCACAGTGCGACGAAGTCAACGGTACGGCTACGGCCATCTACCCCTGCGTCAGCACCTGCGACGGTGAGTTTTATTTCCAAAATTGGGCGAAATACAGTCCAGAATGATCCAGGATAATCTTTTTACATAGAAAACGGAACTAATAAGAAAAAAAAAAGGATATTGTCAGATCTGGAATGAATAAATGAAGTAACCCACAGAAAAGAAAGGAAACCAAATATCTGCTTCAAACAGTTTTTTGTTTTGTATTGTAGAGGTTACAATTCCATGCGACAAGGAGATGCCGTTTCCCCTGGACTGTTCCTTTTTTGAAAGCGACCCATCCAAGTGCGTGACTCCACCCAAAGACATCACCACTCCAGCACCAAGTAAGTTTTATAAGATTGTTACGAGCGGGATGTGTTCGGAGGGTGTAAACGAACGCAGCCGGAAATGACTTGTGGCCAATCATATATGGCATTCGGACTCGTTTAATATCAAACCATACCACGGAAGACCAAAGCTATTGCTAGTGATATAGTATGAATTGTTTTTCTTGCAGAAACCTGTCAAAGCATCGAAGTGAACTACGACTACTGCGGCGATCTGGGCTTCAATGTGACGTCATTTCCGTCGCTTTTCGGGTCCAATATTGGTGAAGTACGAGCGGCTTTTACATCCTACGCCTTGTCCACCGTGCAATCCATGTGTCATCCGGACGTACAGTTCTTTTACTGTGGGCTGTTCTTCCCGAAATGCATGGACGGAGACAAATTGATGCCATGTAAAAGCTTATGCGAGGGTAAGTTGTGTCCTCTTGGTCTCATTTAGAATTTTTTCCCATTCTCTTCTGAGAAAGACTCTTCGGGCCCTCGTATGTCATACGAATCCGCTCTATAAACGTGTTTACATACATATTGTCAGTCAATTCATCTTCATCAGCGTCATCAGCATCATCAGGATCACCAGGAAGGTGTTTATCATCGTCAGTATGGAGTTCACCATCAGGATGATGTTCATCATAAGCAAGATGTTCATTCATCAGCATGAAGTTCATCATCATCAGGATGATGTTCATACATATCAGGAAGGTGTTCATCATCACCATTATCATCATCAGCAGCAACAGCAGGATGGTGTTTATCATCACCATCATCATCATCATCATCATCAGCAACAGCAGGATAGTGTTTATCATCAACGTTTTCTGTTTATTTCAGAGGTAAACGCAGCGTGTGAAGAATCTTCCCGGTTTCCAGTGGACTGTGAGATATTTTCCAATGACACCCAGAGATGTCTCTCCGTCAACAACACCAACATGACGCCGGGACCTTCGACCACCCCTACACCATCAACCACCACTATACCTCTAGGAGGTAAGACTTGTGTTTTACTTAGATGGACTTTGTTGGCGATTTTTTACTCCGTGATACAAGAGGTTACCCCTTTAAGAAATTTATTGGGATCATTCCCTCTCCCATTTCCAGGCCCCCAAGGCCCGTAAAACTGCATAATTGATGACGTCAAGGGCCTTATATGATAACGAAAAGCATAATTTGCATTTATTGACGTCATCAAACGCTTAGTTTTGTGGAATTACAGGAACCACAGACATCTGATTGAAAATTGGAATGGTGTAAATTGAAACTATCGGTGTTCCCGATACACATAGAAATTTTTAGAAAACGTCTTTACAATCTCTTTAAGCCCTTTCATAGCTTTTTCAATAGATATGTACTAAGCCCCTCTTGAGTCGTTTTAGCAAATAAATACCTTTGAATCATTTTTACTTGAAGATTTTTTCTTCAAAAAGAGAAAAACGGCCACTTATCACGAAATGGGTCCTCGTGATTTCTTCAAAATATTTCTTTTCACTGAAATCCAAGGTTAAAACTGTCAAAGAAGAGGTGACGGATATATGCAGTAGCTTAGAATGATATAAATAGGGTTTTGCAGTTTTTTCCATCTGATTATGCTAATGAAGACGGACAACGCCTTTCATTGTGCAATGAGGGAATTTTGCCAAAACCGTGGTATTAACCTGCTCTTTTCGATTTCCAACTGTCGAAGGATCTTTAACGTGTACAGTCTGTAGCACATGAGGCCTCGGTGTATTGTCCCATCTGAACCCATACATTTAACCTTTCTTTGATTAGAATGGAGTGTACAATGAGGGAAATTTTGCCAGGACAGATGCATTAACCTGCTCTTTTCGATTTCCAACTGTCAAGGGATCTTTAACGTGCACAGCCTGTAGCACACAGGGCCTCGGTTTATTGGCCCATCCGAACGACTAGACGCTTTTTCCATAGCACCCCCTCTCCGACCTGCATCGCTGACAGGGGAATTGGGTTTTAGAAAACTAATTTGAGTCCCTTTAAAACGCAAGCATACACCTGTAAGAGGAGGTCAAACGAGTTTATACACATGACTGCCGAAGGGGAACGAAGCCTTTTGTGAGGAAATTACAAGCATATTCAACAAATTGCAAGCAAATTATTCTTAAGCGAACGAAAGGTTAGGTTATCCTCTAGCAAAGATATTCGTCGATAGCAATATTATTTTTTTGAATTTTTGGGTATATGGTTACTGAAGATTTTCACGCTATGCGATCTTCAGACAAATAACACATTTCAGCCCGGGTCCCTAATGAACTTTTCCCGAAGATAGCACAGCGTGAAACTCTGATTAACAACATGTTTCAGGTTCTGTTTTAAAATTTCTATATCGCTCTACTATTGATGTATTGAGCACTATTTTAACAGTGGTATTTCTATACCGCTCTACAATTGATGTATTGAGCACTATTTTAACAGTAGTATTTCTATATCACTCTACGATTGATGTATTGAGCACTATTTTAACAGTGGTATTTCTATAGCACTCTACAATTGATGTATTGAGCACTATTTTAACGGTGGTATTTCTATATCGCTCTACAATTGATGTATTGAGCACTATTTTAACAGTTGGTATTTCTATATCACTCTACAATTGGTGTATTGAGCACTATTTTAACAGTAGTATTTCTATATCACTCTACAGTTGATGTATTGAGAACTATTTTAACAGTGGTTTTTCTATATCTCTCTACAATTGATGTATTGAGCACTATTTTAACAGTGGTATTTCTATATCACTCTACAATTGATGTATTGAGCACTATTTTAACAGTAGTATTTCTATATCACTCTACAATTGATGTATTGAGCACTATTTTAACAGTAGTATTTCTATATCACTCTACAATTGATGTATTGAGCACTATTTTAACAGTGGTATTTCTATATTGCTCTACAATTGATGTATTGAGTACTATTTTAACAGTGGTATTTCTATATTGCTCTACAATTGATGTATTGAGTACTATTTTAACAGTGGTATTTCTATATCACTCTACAATTGATGTATTGAGCACTATTTTAACAGTGGTATTTCTATATCACTCTACAATTGATGTATTGAGCACTATTTTAACAGTGGTATTTCTATATCACTCTACAATTGATGTATTGAGTACTATTTTAACAGTGGTATTTCTATATCACTCTACAATTGATGTATTGAGCACTATTTTAACAGTTGTATTTCTATATCACTCTACAATTGATGTATTGAGTACTATTTTAACAGTGGTATTTCTATATCACTCTACAATTGATGTATTGAGTACTATTTTAACAGTGGTATTTCTATATCACTCTACGATTGATGTATTGAGCACTATTTTAACAGTGGTATTTCTATATTGCTCTACAATTGATGTATTGAGCACTATTTTAACAGTGGTATTTCTATATTGCTCTACGATTGATGTATTGAGTACTATTTTAACAGTGGTATTTCTATATCACTCTACTACATATTACAGTATGAAAAGGGAGAATCTACCTTTAAAATTAACGTAGCCTATAAAGTATTAATTACATAATTAAAGAGAGGGTGCACCACTACAAAATCAATAAAAATATCTCTTATATGCAAAGTGGATTAAATTTTAATTTGGGCATCACATGATCTTAAGAAAAAGTGGATATCCATCTTTAAGTTTAAAGTGCTACTTACATAATTAAAGAGAGGATGCTAATGCTACAGATAAAAACATTAAAAAAACTAATAAAAATTTATGTGAAACTAATTAACCCTTTGATTTTAAATTGATAGCTTCCGGTGTTAATGACGTCATTTTCACGCTTTTATGTGTTGAGATTGGCGCCTCTTGGGGTCATTGCGAACGGTTTTTAAAGCCAAATCAAAACGAAAGTCGGTTGACTTTTACGTGTTGACATTAATGATTAGGATATTTTTGTAAAATCATTTTTAACTTTAAAAATTTTTAAAGAATTTAAGATGCAAATTGCTTCCGGATGCAATATTTAAAATGTAACCTAAGTGCATTTTGGGTTGGGTTGGTTCTTTTCTGGTTTCTTTTTCGAAACTCTTCAGCATCAGGGCGGGAAAGTATGCTGTTTGTCTTTTAATCAGGAACGTGCTGACTCTATATCTGGGCTCTGATAGTTATTATTGACAGAGGTTAATCTGAAACTTGCTGTCTCTATATCTAGGCTCTGATAGTTATTATTAACAGAGGTCAGTCTGACACTCACTGACTCTATATCTGGTCTCTGATAGTTATTATTAACAGAGGTCAGTCTGAAACTTACTGACTCTATATCTGATCTCTGATAGATATTATTGACAGAGGTCAGTCTGAAACTTACTGACTCTATATCTGATCTCTGATAGATATTATTGACAGAGGTCAGTCTGAAACTTACTGACTCTATATCAGGTCTCTGATAGTTATTATTAACAGAGGTCAGTCTGAAACTTACTGACTCTATATCTGGGCTCTGATAGTTATTATTGATAGAGGTCAGTCTGAAACTTACTGACTCTATATCTGGTCTCTGATGGTTATTATTGACAGGGGTCAGTCTGAAACTTGCTGACTCTATATCTGGTCTCTGATAGTTATTATTGACAGAGGTCAGTCTGAAACTTACTGACCCTTTATCTGGGCTCTGTTAGTTATCGGGAGTCGACCAATTTGGGACTAGGGGTCCCGTAAGTAAAGTTTTAGCCTTTAAATCCCAATCGGATCTGATTTACGACCAATTATTAGCTTTTGACAAAATATTACGAAATATTATGTATTGGTTAGATACGTGATAATAATTTTGCACAATCGGTAGAGATATTAGAGCTAGTTATGAAAAACACAATCGCCAAGTGGTAGTGGGTGTTTATGACGACTTATACTATTAGTTTGTGAACTCTCCAGAAGGATTTCATGACCACGGTTTTAGATAGGTGGACTCTCTGAAATGCAACGATGACAAAGCGATATAACAACATCATCTTTTAATTAGCTATGTGGACTCTCTACAAACTCATATTGCTATATAAATGTTGTTGTCTATGTGGACTCTCTAAGAAAAATTCAGACTATTAGGTTTACAACAAGGCGACGTACTTTGCCCTTTCCTTTTCTATGATTGTATTAACCGAAATTTTCATAAAACGGGTTATGCTACAGTTCATTACGTCACTAATTGTCAATTCTAATTTTATGTGGGCAGCCATAACCTACAAAAAACGTGTGGGAAATTGCACGGATGAGGAGTTTAGCTATTGGTTGTTTTGAGTGTTATAGACATGGCTTTCCATAAATCGTACAATAAAGACACTACAGGCTTTTATGTGTTATATTTAGTATTCGGCGATACGGGTCTTTATCAAGACGCTGTAAGGTTATAGAAAGATTGTAGTCGAGTGAAAAACACCGTTTTGGGTTTTTGTACAGTGGTTTTAGTTTATTATTTTGGTGATAACGTTGTATGTGAACATTTCTAAGGATAGATCGGCTTCATATTTTGGATTTTTAAGGATAGATCAATACCTTGAGATTCCTTAGGGCATTTAAGGATAGATCGACTTCATAGTTTGGATTTCGAAGGATAGATCAACATCAAAATTTGGAATTCGAAGGATAGATCAACATCAATACCTTCGAATTTCTAAGGACATTTAAGGATAGGTCGGCTTCATATTATGGATTTCTAAGGATAGATCAATTTATTTGGATTTCTGAGGACATTTAAGGATAGATCGACTTCATTGTTTAGATTACTAAGGATAGATCATTAGTTTCAAATTTCTTCGGACATTTAAGGATAGATCGACTTTGGATTTCGCATGACAGATCGGCTTCATATTTTGGACTCCTGAGGATAGATCAATATATTTGGATATCTGAGGATACGTTGCCTCCAATTTCTGATTTCTGAGGAACCGTTGCCTTCAATTTCTGATTTCTGAGGATTAAGTATCCAATGCCGGTGCAAAGTTATTAAAATTTGCGTGAAATTTCAAGTGTTATTGAGTAACATACAAATATATGCTCTAATAAATATTAGCATTAATAGGGCCGATAACGATTTCTCGAGTGAAAAAGAAAAAAGTTTAGCGACGTGTTTTTTTTTCCGTTTTGCGTCTTTCTGATATTCGGTATTTTCGTTTCTTTTCAAGATTTTGAAATTCTCCAGGATTAAGGATCTGCTATAGTTCCATGTCAATGTCGAAACGTGTTTGAACCGGATGTCGATGTCGAAGCATT